GGACGCATCACTATCTACTGTACGATTACGATTAGATGGGACGGCAACGCACGGCACAGCTCGGGCCCCGCTGACGCAGCCGCTCTGACTCACCGGCCCCCGGGGCCGCGTCGGCATGCTGCGCACAGACCAGCTGCGCACGGACCAACGCGCACAGCCTGCCCTAATCTCCCCATGTATATAAGCCGGCCTCTGCTGCCCTAGGGACCTCAGTTTCGACCTCTTGTCCCTAGGTCAGTAAGCCCTCCTTTGTATTCTTTCTTACTTTACTAACTAATACATTTACTTGTCCCTAGCCTTAGGTTTGAGCCTCGCTCACCATCGCTTCGGTGAGAACCAGTCGGACGCCCCTTGCTTTTAGGTATTCCCCTGTCGCTTGACCTCAAGTCGCGACATGCCCCCACCTTATCCGGCTGTGGTGTTTGCAGTCACGCGTCCTTGCGCGGCCTCTCTCACGAGCTATTGGAGCAATGACTAGCTTCCCTTCCTCTCCCACTCCACCTGCCGCCTTTTCACTGACCGCTTCTCGTCATTTGTCCTCCTCGCCTTCAGTCCGTGTCCTCCTCATTGGGTGACAGAACCCTTGCACCATCTCCACGTCTGAGTCCCTCTCCGTCATTCTGGCCTTCGGCTGGTCTGGGTGTCTGCCCGGTTGCTCCGGGTGGCCCACCCGCCCATCGCTGCTTACTCGGGATTCCGACAGGTCATGGTCCTGTGTTCTGCGCCGGGAACCTTGCCCCATTGTTTCCCACGAAGGGGGAGGGGGGCGGGGGGCTTCGCCCACTTCCTATCGGTTCATGTTTGCTTTCGGTAGTCTCTCGTAATTCATCATCATGTAGATGGCCTCTCGCTTTCCCACTTGCTAATACTGTCACTCCCTGACTCATCGATCCTTATGGACTACTTCCCAACATCTGACCCATGCCGTTAATACATCACTGTTGATCACGGCATTGGTGCGTGCGAACGCAAGACATAGAGAGTGCCAATTGAAAACGAGGTCCAGGCGAACAAGAAGCGCTTGTATCAGCAAATGAGACCATTCTCAATTAGAGTTTCCGCCACAGCGGACTCGCCGAGTGGACGAAAACGAAACGATGTAGTGCTTGAATGAGAATGTACTTGCACATAAGCACAAATTGTCACTGAATCAATATGATAATGGTATTAGTGATTTGTACTCCTAGATTTAGCCAGCGGCGCAGCAAAGGGCCTCGTTCAAGCTGGTGTGGAGAATGACGGAGTTTGATTTCATGAAAATACCCGAGTTATTCATCTGAGCGCAGGCCACCAATGCCGGCGTTCTGTTTCAGAGTTATGTGATAACCACGAGTAAGAACATGATTTGTCAATCGAATTTAACGTCTGAAAGCAGTACATGCGACTATCCGTCGTTGCAGCTTCGGCAGAGCCGCCACCCGCATTTCTGTAGCCACAACAGGACTTACCCGGTTTGGATGTCGTAGACCTTTCACGCATGCGGCCATGACCATATATGGTTAGCGACGCAAACTAACGCGTACTGCATGTACAACTTGTCATATCTCGTTGTCCATCCTATGGATCGTAACAAAGCTCATGATTCTCATTCAAGATCCCTATCCCGCTCATTTGAGCAGATTTTTGTGTCTCCGGGGCCTTCTCGTCTTCCGGGAAGAAAGAGAGATAACTAGGAATGGCTGCGACGATGCTTGGCCGAATCCCGATTCCGAACGCTGATATCAGAAGTGGGGACTCTTCAGTACGTCACTGCCTCGTATTGCATGAGCGAAGTTCACCGGATGTACTATGCTGCAACGAGGAAGACATCACACAAATCCATCACTGTGTAGGGCTCGCGCGAGGCTTTCGTCGCCTGAGTTACTTAGAGAATGTAGAAAGGCAAGAACGTGAATATCACTAGCGGTGGCTAGGTCTAGGCTATGCATGCAATGAAAATAAGCCGCAGGTCATCTCTGCAGCCTATCTGGGCATGATGTCATGGTAGCGCATACAGATCACAGCCCAGACACAAGAATGCATAGTGACGCAAGCAGAGGTTCCGCATATTTAATTCCCGTATGTGACACCTCAATAAGTATCAGCTCCCAGAGATGTCGCTGACTAAACATCTATGATAACCACATTCCTTCAGACTGGCATCCGATGCTGACGTGAGATTCACATGCTTGTCTGATGATGAACACCTCAATCTTTAGAGATACAGATACGACCCCGATGCGGAGGCGATTATGCCTGGCAGCACCACTCGAAAGTGAGTATTGGCGGGGTCGATTCTGCTCCAGACAATGCTGATGAATACGCGGACTGGGGAGACATGACGACAATTAAATACGGATCAGATCAAGACGCAGACATGTTTAAATTACAGCTAAGACTCAAAGCAGCCTCATAGGGCATGGGTAGGTAAGGAGCGACAGAGGCGTGTAGGGTTCTCACGCTTACGGTGCGACGTTGCTGATGCTGTATCGTGGGACGTTAGCATCAAAGCAAATAGAAAGCAGTCTTCCAATGAACGCAGCAAGGAGCACAGAGTAAAAGGGAAATCGAGTGACACAATGGATACATCTCGACTCGTGGGTGTGTCGTACTTTTGAGCGGTCGACAACCCTTTGCATTATGGCTTATCTGACACAATCTTCTCCACTTGCTGTACTGGAATAACGTTGTGTCAGTCTATAAATACGTACCATACACCCTGTGCTTCTTGTGTCTCGACACATCCCGCTCTTGAGATTTCAGTCGCAAAGCACTATTGCGTTCATATTCGATGGCCCACTACATCCTTTCTTACCCTATTCCTGAACAGAATCAGAGGTGAAACTCGTCTCAGCAAAGTCACTAAGTCTATGCCTTTTAGCTTTGGCGTCTTTGCTTCCGAAAACGACGAGTACGATCATATTTCTAGTCATTTATTGGTGCTCAAAGGATATTCGGAAATCCCAGTGACATCATTGAAGCGTTGCGGTCAGGAAGGCCGGCGTCGCCATCCACTCTCGACACTCTGATGCACTTCAGGCCTCGACATCGATCGGCGTATCTCAAGCGCAGGTATTCAGAGGTCGACATGGAGGCAGAGTGGATGGAAAATAGGGAGGTCATCGATCACTTTCATTCAAGCGATTGTGCTTCCATGCCACCACCGCGGAAGAAGCGCGCACTCAGTGCAAGCCACAACGAGGAGTCAGAGGCCGACTCCGATGAAGTACGCCATCATTCCTTCAAGCGGACAGTGCTGCGGTTATCCTTCCAGATGGAGCTGCACCCACGTTAGCCTTTCAGGCCGGTCTCGTCGCCACCTTTGGGCTTCTCATTATTGTTATATTCGGGATCGCCATCTTCGCCTATTTTTTGGACCACATCTATCTCCCCGAAAATTATGCGTAGATCAGATCATCGGTTTTCCATGCACCACTGACTCACGGTCATATTTCAAATGTCAATATCACACAGACGGTTCGTCTGTCGCGGCCATATTTCTCTAGGCCATCCCCTTCTCCTATGCCTGAGTCCCCGGACGCCCCTCGTTCTCCCCCCCCCCCCCCAAGCGTCTTCGCCTCTTCTCCTTCTAGCGGCGGTCGGTTGCCGATCCCGCCGCAGAAAGTGAAAGTGCGTTCAACAACGGCCCTGGTAATGCAATCTGATACTTAGAGCGTAGCAAAGGAGGATGAAACTCGAATGAGGTTAGGATGAAGAGACAAGTCTCCGGTAAAATGTAGGGTATTCATTGTCTTTACACACTCGAAGAGTGTCGTTCCTCCTTATGTATGCACAACAAAGCTCATACGCGCGAAACTGTCCACAGTGATAGTAAAAGATTAGTAGGGTTTACTGACTCTGGGTCAGCTTGTACTCCGTAGCAGTCTCCGGATCAACAAGATAGACGGTCACCGTGTTCGTATCACGTATTCCATACCCCTGATTATACTCCAAGAAATTGATCCTTTGGGAGCCATCTGCCTGGACATCATACGGCTCTCTGATACCCAGATCGGTTGATCCGGAGACGACCCTATACTTATAGCGCTTGTCCTTGAGCACCTTGGGAAAGGTGACCTCATCAAGGTAGAATTGACCCGGAGCACCCCATTCCACCCTCTTCCATTTGGGTGTATAGTCGAAGTCGACGAACGGCTTTCCAGCACGAGGAACGAGTCTGTCCAGGCTTCTCCAGCTTTCGACCTGCAATACATAAGTGATACATTACGGGAGATTTGAAGATTAGTTCACGAACCCCGTTATTTTGCGGTGACTTGACTTCCCTCGACGTCGTCGATGTGGAGCCCGTACGCTATGTGAGCATTTCAAGTCAGCCTGATTATTTTTCATAACAGTTGACTACTCGTACCGCATCGTAGAACATTGTTTCGTCATCTCCATATATGTCAATGCCTTCATCAAAGGAACTCAACGAGTCTTCGCTGGTTGGAAGGAGTCTCTGGAAGGACTCCTCTACTTCCTTGAAATCAGGCCTAGCTTCCCAAGTGAAGTTTGAACACTTGTGAATCATATCTCTAATGTCGTCGGTGAGGCCACGCTCGCCATATTCGAGAGTAATATTTTTCCGGCAGATTTCTGACACAAACACCGCATCTATATAGCTGTAGAAGGGGTATTTGCCTGTGAAAACCTATAAAGTGTAGTTGTCATGAAACCTAATGATATCATTCAGATAACTAGAAAAATACTGACTTGATATACAGTCATTGCAAACGAATAAACATCCGAAGCCTTGGTGAGCGGTTTGCCTCGTAGATATTCTGGAGCCATAAATCGGAGAGTCCCCTTGATTGTATCGTTGGAATGAGTTACGTTGCTGCGTTTGGAAACGGTAGACGATGAACTTTCAATAAGACGGGAGAGACCAAAGTCTGCGATGCGAGCTCGTCCAGCGTCATCGATTAAGATATTAGCGGGCTTCAGATCGCCATGAAGAACACTCTGCCGGTGTAGATAGATCATGCCCAGAGTTACATCGTGCAACTACGAGATAACCCATTAGAAGTATCAACATATGAAGTCATGAATAGTACGTGCATCTACTCACAAGTCTAATCTTTTTGAAGTCATCGTGGAAACGGCCGAGGTAATCGAGGATATTGCCGTTTTGCATGAATGCCGAGACAATAAAAGGGACTTGCGCATTGAGTGAGGCTCCAATAAATTGTAACACGCGGGGATGTCCTTGAATGCTACAATCAACCATCATTCTGGAGCTGCAAAGATTGCAGACACACGCAAATCTTTCCAGATACGAATCTCCTTCTGAAGCTCCTAGATAACGAGAAAGTCAACTTCAAGCATACTGCACGTTTGCAAATCCGTGAAGGTCACCTTAGGAGACGTTTCGTGTGTCAAATATTTCACAGCGACGATCTCGCCGTCCCAGACTGCTTTCTTCACCGTTGAAAATCCCCCTGCGCCAATGATGTCCGAGACGACGATCTCAAACTCAGAAATTGCCCACTTCGGCGGCTTCAAAGATTTGTTATTCCCTCTAGGATTGAATTTGGCTTCGAACACCCTGATACTAGCTGCAAGAAGTTTGCCTTCCAGACTGTGGTCATTCTCATGTGCTTCAGTATACTGATGTATGTCAACACTTCTGCAGAGGCTATCTTCGATCTACGCACGCGTTGTATAGCGAGAGTAATCTCTTTTGCCTGTCTTTGATTGAATGATCTCAGGCCAAAGGCCTGAAGTACCGATGCTTCGCGATTTTGGATATCCCCATGTGTCACCTTGCGCAGGAGTTGTTCGAGGACGTCTTCATCCTGTTCAGTTGCTTTGCGAAAATCGTTTCCAGAAGGGCGAACTGCAATCTGTACAGGCAGATAAGTTAGGGCAATCCCAATAATAGGGGTACTGCGTACTTTGAAGGTTGTAGCACGCATATCCAGTAGCCGAAGCGCCTCCTTCGCCCGTTCCGTAATCTCCACAGCATGCAGAAGACTCCCGAGAAAATTGGACCGTGTCATGTATGCCAAAAATGTCTGGACCTGGTACAAGCCGCTGAATTTCAGAGACGCTCAGATTGGGCGAATTTATCGGATTTGTCGGCGAATATACATACGATACCAGATCGTCAAGCTGTTCCTGAGAAGGCGACTTCTCCGCGTGTAAGTAGCTTTCGTTGACCAAATGGAACACTTGCTGTGTGCGAGATACAAGGTACTGACACACGTGCTTGTTCACTTCGATGTCATTCGGCTGGGCACGCATGAAGTAGAGCAGATCAAGAGCAGGCTGTAAAGACGAATGTACGTTCAACATCGGCGCGACAGTTTGTAGTTCCGAGGGCTGAGGCTCGATTATCCACAGGTTTCTCTTATCTGTTGGTGAGATACCGAGTTCAATCTGTACGTATGTTAGTTATAGACATAAGAATTTCAAAGAACTCGTACGGGGGTCCTCAACTGCTCATCGCGTGACCTCCAGTATAGATTAGAGCCGTCAGTAGTCCTGATACTGAACCCCAAGCGAAATTAGTCACAGATCACTTCTGAGCAGGACGGAGAACATACGCATATCGGCGAAGCTCATTAAGACCAGGATCATGATCAATCGCCCAAACGTGATGGCTGCTGTCATTGCGACTGAAGATCACGTCGCCATCCTTTGGTCTGTGTATACTCGCAACAATTGAACGGTATTGATGATTCATGATGGCATATCGCTCGTTCGGCAAGCGAGTGATAATCCACTGTCGTACATCCCTGTAGACAGAGCACACAAATACTGCGTTGAACACTCACTTTACGACGCAGTCCATCTTCTCCGCCAGAGCTCTGCACTATATCGGATAGATCGTTACCATCCCCAAGGGCCACCATCATCCTGGTCTGAACGTTTGATATCGTGTAGATCCCAGATTGTAGCAGTGAATCATGCATCGTATTTCAGTAGACGAAGTCAGTGAGACAGACAAGTGGCCGCAAGGAGCACCAGTGGACCGTTCGGACAATCGAATCCGCGAATGAAACGAACTGTCGGGCTGACACGGCGCGACTAGTATATAGCTGGGGATATTGTAGCTATTTTGGAGCAAAATATGATTAGTTACTTACGTCCATATCATCAAGCCTCTTACGTACACACGTGGGGTCTAAAACGAGACCGGTGTATGCATAAATCCGTAAAGATTAGGACATCTGCGTAAGAGGGTAAAGAGCAACACTGGCAGTTAGAATCGAACAATATTCTGTCTCGAGATTGAATTGTTGTCACTGACATGCGAGCGTAGTGGATGATAACATGCTGGTGACAGCTGTCTATCTTACGTAGTTCACCGCTATCATAGGGCAATCGTATCTGACGCGGTGACCCTGAGCTCCTTAGTCGAAGGTAGCTTGGCCCTAATCTAATTGTCGCTGAACCGAACCTGTGGCTCAAGGTTGGCGTGGATTTGAATTAGAATCTGTCACTATTTTGCTGGTTTTCAGAACCACAGAAGTGAAGCTATTTCCTGTTTGATGTGTGGTCCAAACTGTGGGGTCATGGGGTGCTGTGGCCCGGGACTACATACGTACAACTCAAGGAGGAAGGCGAGTCACATGACTCGTACCGAAAAGGCAGTATGGGAATCTTATTAGCAAAACAGGTTTACCTCTAATGTACTTTGCAGTGAGTACCTGAACTCCTAGTTTACGGTATCGGCTATACGTTCCAAAGGCGCACAAGAGTTCATTACTGCAGATACAGCTTGATACGAAATCAGGAGCTTCGATCAATCAAGGCCTTTGTCTCTGGCAGCCGTAAGTCTTCAGCTGTCTCATGCACTTATACCCTCGCGGCGGAATGCATGATCTTCAATCATCACGCATAATCTACGGTGAATTCAACCAAGTGTGTATCAAAGGTGCCGGTCCAGGTATCTCGTGTTACAAACTAGAATCAGAGCAACATGTCGAAGACCAGGCGGCCCCATGTCTGACAGGTAAACAAGGAATCCAATCTTCAAGCTCTGATAAATTGCCAATGGTTGCGAGAATCAGTGTAGGCCGATGCAAGAGTTACCTACAATACAAAGTTAATGCTACCTCCTGCGCAAATGTTCTCTGAATGCGACTTACCGGCGTGCCTAGCTCATCATCCGGCAGGCCCCAGCATAGTTGGGCATCAGATGGCGATATTCTTTCACATCAAAATTAAATGTCCATCAGCTACGTGGCATTCGGTATAAAAGGATCGCATACGTGTAATGTCCCCTAACCCTGGTTTCTTGGATTATAAATTGTTGCTGCCCGTTCCGGCCAGCAACTTCGTCGCCCTGAGACGCACGGAAACCGCAATTGGCATACGATGCATGAGTTTGATTCTGAATGGTGTATTTGCCATTACCGAGTTGGACAACATTCCACTGCATATACGACATGTGAGCGTCCCTTTTGCAATGTACAAGGAACGGAGATGAACTGAACCTTCAGTGGAAGTGTTCCCGTGGAGTCCTCAGATGTGGCTTGCACTGCAGAGCCATCGTTGGGGTCCGGCAATTGCAGCTGGTTCTTGCTGCGAACGTTTTGAATGAAATAGCGTCCGGTAGGGATGGTCATGGTGTGCCAGCTAGCGTTCCTGAAGGCGATGAGGATACAAGTTCTCGACTGCAGACCGCTTTTATATCCTACGAGTTGGCATCGCCAAACACTGTGAAGCACAAATCCGGTTGGACGTTAATTGGATAAAGTTGGGACATAGGAATGGAAGAAGACTCGACCCGCACATCGTGTACACATCCGACTAATCAGTCAGATATCGGCAGCAAGTTGGGGAGTTTGGGAGTAACTCCGATTGGCACGTTATTCTAGGCGCTGACCGGAAGCTGTAAGATGCGCCAGGTTGACAGCTTCCAAGCTCCTGGATCCAAAAGAAATTCAATTCAGGTGAGGCGCTTGACACGCAAGGAAAAGTGCACCTGAGGTCCTGAAGCCGAGATAGGATGTTTGCAAGGGTCATCTGACAGAATTCAGGGAAAGTCTCCGACACTAGTCCTGGCTTGTCAATGTATGTGGTCCTCTACGTGCACTTGAAATATAGTGGTTCAATCTTATCGGAGATTAAAGACTTCTGTGTCTTGATACATGTGCAGACCGTGTGGCGGAACCCGAACCTCCTGATGAGATACACATATTGTGTGATTCGACCTGATTCGACGTTTCCTTCGGACGTCCACGGGTGTGTGGGTAGGCTTGTGGAGATGAGACGGGATGTAGAAAAAAGAAAGTGAGGGGCGCAACCGGTGAGTCATCCTGAGCATATTAGTGAACAACGGATCGAAATAATGCGTCTGCCGCGCACACGCACAGTGACACATCCGGCCTGAGACTAGACGTCGACTCCTATCCAGCTGATTAAGTGTCAACGCTCCATTCCCTGGGAATCCCGCCATCTCCTCATTGTTCAGTGGCGCCGCAGAGACATCTGCGACCGCGCAGTACAACCCGCTGGTCGCATCCGTGTGCGTCAGTCGCTTTATTCTCCATGGATTGCGTAGGTGCGCTTTGATTACTGCAGAGACATAATCGCTCACAAGTCATAGAATAAATCTGCTCAACCGCAGGAATCATAGCAGATGGAGAATCTGACTCTCGAGATTCGTGGCGAAGGGATGTAGCGAGTCATGTTACTAGACCTCTCTGGTTTCGTTTCCTATCATCCGTTCTTATGTCAGATGAGAAAGAACATACGATCAGAAGAACTTGGGCCAATATAGACAATCGTATCAAGTCCGCGAATTCGCTGGTACCTTCCATAGAAAAGTACCGACTTAGATCGAATGCTGCAGGCCATGAAGAGGGACAAGAGCGCAGCTTACCAGCCATGAACAGTCCTCTCGTTATGTCCCACGATATTGTAAGCGACTATGCCAAGTACTGTATGTCCTATTAGCCCGGATATGAACATAATTACGCACTGACAGTATGCGCTCCTTGCTGGTCAGTAGTTGATTTCGAAGGTAACACATCAAAAAAGTTGTAGATTGCAGTAGCTGTAAAATACACCGTGTATCGCAGTCTTTCTGAATCGCAGTCTTTCTGAATGCTAACTCATGTCGTCTGGCTTCGTTAGACAAAATAAGAAACAATCGTAAGGCATTACATGGCCATAATGTAAAGGGAAGTCACGCCTATACGTCTAGTGAGGCCAACATTGACGACGCGATCAGTGTCAACGCCCTAATCCGATACCATGAAACGGAGGATGCAGAGTTCACAGTTTCGTGGACTCAAGACCCCCCATCTGGCATTCGGTGACGTACGTCTCAAGAATTGGGGAACTCTGTCTACCACGGTGCTACAGGTGAATGTCCCGATTTAGCCTGAAGGAAAGAATATTGCAGATAAGAACGCACACTGCTTATAAGAGGGCAACACGCAAGCTGCGCTTTTCGCCACGGATACGAGCCTCGAAGCCGACAAGGCGAGCACCATGTCTCAACTGCAAGATGCGCTACCTGGTCGAACGGCCTCCGGACTCAATGGCGGCATGTGCGCTACGCGAGGCCATTGCTCTCGCGCGGGATGGACACGCGTCCTGGGCGGGGGATCTCGCGCATGTTTCCCGGCGCCTTGAGTGCGGGGGCGGCGTCGACTTTGGTGCCCTCCTCAGGCTCGACTATGTGACCGCCCTGCAGGTTACCGTCGCCGATGCTCGCAACACCCTACTGCAACACGTCATCGACTCGTCGCCGAAGCTCTCCCTGCTCCGGGGCCGTCTGAGACCACAGCGCGACACATCGTCCGCCCACCGCACCCTCGCCTTCCGCCATTACTTGCGCGTGGTGGTGCCTCAGCACAACCATGCGCTGATGCGGCTGGTCCTCTCTGACCACCGTCTTGCGTCCGAGCCGGGACGCTGAGGCCGGGGGTCTTATTGGGGTCGCCGCGCTGCAGGGGCGAAGGCGACGGCGGGGAGTGCCGAGTAGTCATTATTAGCAGGCTTAGCGAGGATGCTCCGTATAATAGACAGGGACGTAGCGACCATGTATCTAGTAGGTACGGAAAGCCGGCGTTCCCGATTGGGACCCATGCCGGTATATTCCTTCCTTCCTTCTTTCCCGATTTGGCAATGGATGCTTCCTCGGGCTAGGAGCCTGGGATGATGCGGTTTAGTGTTGATAGCGCGAACCTACTTACCTTTAACTTCTACTGTCCATCAACGTTTCTCCTGTAGTGATGGACATCATAGTCCTCTAATGAATACCGTTATACTTGGAACAATTTGGATCACTCAGCACGTCCACTGCCGCTTGGAGGACTTGGCTCGCACGTAGTGTCTCCTGACTACACATTTCTATTATTTATAGGCTCTGGCTCAGAAGGTCTTGTGCGATGCTTGTGAAATAGGCCTGGCCTGCTCTCGCCTTGTAATTTGTGCTAACAACAAAGGTTGTAAGATATGGAGATCATCGCGGAGTTATTGGCGTGTCGCGTCAGCCGATGTCATAGCCTCACGAACGATGCATTTGAAGATGCAAGGCACAATGGACCGTGAGTCTTACTTCCCAGTGATCTTTCAGACTGACTTGATACAAATATCACAGAACAGGAACCGCTCCGCTCCTTTGGGCTTCAACGAGCAACAACCTGTCTGGGTATCTTCTGCCAGATACGTGATGAACGTGCTGCACGAAATCTCAAATGCACACTGTCATGCGAGCTAGCGCGATGTTTTAGGCAAGCCTCATGAGCGTGTACGGCTTTTCCGTTGTACTCTCCGATATCGTTGATTCAATATATACCTGTAGGAAAAACATGATATCACGCATTGAAATGCCTGCGGATGTTTCAGATGCTCCGTGAAGCCGACCATGAATCTTTTCGGCTTGGACATTTGGGACACGAAGAGCCATTTATCCATGACATATAGTGTGTTGGTTGTGGACATAACTTTACGCTTACAGGCAGAATGAAAATCATGGATGGCCTGCAGCAGACAGGCCATAGCAAAGGTTGCGTACTGCCTTATTACATATAAGGGTCGAAGTGTATGATGGGTTCGAGCAGAATGGATGAATGCCTAACTGTCGCTAGATCTGTTTTATCTCTTCCAATCGCGAAGGGCGACGGTGGCCTGCATCATGACTCTAGGGACATTAATCTCAAGAAGTTCGTATTAGGTGTGCGCGACAAGGCGTGTTCTGCATGAGTGTTTTGGACTGTTTGGCCACGGTGTTGTGGCTGATTTGAACCGTGTTGCATCCCAGACCATCCGCATCCAATACCCCCATTGCGACGATCCTATACCCGCCTACACTCTGCTCATTACTATGTCCAACTCAGCTGATATGGAGAGTTTGGTTTGATTTTGAATCGGCTTCCTGCGAAGCGGCGAGGTTCGTACGACCATTGTACTTCTCTGCTCATGAAGACGAACATTTCCTACCTATAGCATAAAGCCAACCAAACCTCAAGCACCGACTTCTCCACAACGCGCCTCCATACAGCACTCCAGGGCTATTTCTCACACAAGTCAGACTAGACCCGCGAACCCCTTCGGAAGCAACTCTACGCCTCAAGAAGGATGTGCCACACTCGCAGTATACCGATTCGATCCAGATCTCGGAGAACAACTGCCCTTTCCGACTGCCATCGAGCCTGACAAGCTCATTATAGACAAGACCACGGCACTGCACGGTGCCAAGAGTCATTTCCATAGCAGAGCGGGAGAGCGGCGGCGTCCAGGACGTCGCCAAGATTGGTGCAAGACTTCCAAAGTCCCTGGAGACACTGTACGTCGCTCTCAGCCACAAGGGCCTATGATGCTAACCAGCTGCTAGTGTTAGCGTGTTTCGTCTATGCCTAGTAGTAGCACGCCTACCATATGAAGTTTCTATCTCCTGAATCCATCTCTCCTGTCGCCTTACAGTCTAGGTCAGAGTGTTCGCAGGGTGCTTTCATGTTCGCTATGGTAATGGTGGTGGTAAACATGGAACTCGTGCTGCGTCTTGTGGGTCTGCTGACGGTGATTTCCGGGATTTGTCCATGTACCAGATGCTCCCATATTTGATTGCAGCCGCTGTGAGTGGCGCTGCATTCCTCAAAGTGGCATCACTACTGTGTCGCGACTTGAGGTCAAGCGACAGGGAAATATCTAGAAGCGAGGGGTGTCCGACTGGTTCTCACCGAAGCGATGGTGAGCGAGGCTCAAACCTAAGGCTAGGGACAAGAAAGTATATTAGTTAGTAGGGTAAGAAAGAATACAAATGAGGGCTTACTGACCTAGGGACAAGAGGTCGAAACTGAGGTCCCTAGGGCAGCAGAGGCCGGCTTATATACATGGGGAGATTAGGGCAGGCTGTGCACGTTGGTCCGTGCGCAGCTGGTCTGTGCGCAGCATGCCGACGCGGCCCCGGGGGCCGGTGAGTCAGAGCGGCTGTGTCAGCGGAGCCCGAGCTGTGCCGTGCGCTGCCGCCCTATCTAATCT